TTATTATTTATAATAGTTGGATTATATATTATATGTATTAATTATTTTATTGTTATTAATTATTTATTTTATAATAATGTTATATATAGATTTTCTAATAATTGTATTTTTGTATAAGTAAGATAATGTAAAGCTCAAATGAAAGGATAACTCAGAGTGTGAGTTCAAGAACTCAGGTAACGAGTTCAGGATTTAGAATTCAAGTGTAAAGAATTCTAAGAATACAAATTTCACAATAAAGTAATCTTTCTTTCTATATAATAATCTACACAAAACCCTTCAACGTGTTTACTTATTATTAATTATGATAAAGATTGATCATGATAGGACTTATTTTATAGTAATCTTAGATTAATTATACATATTACTCTTTGTTATCAAGTCATTGTTACCCTAAATTCGACGGTTAAGCGTAGGATTAACAAATTGGTGATTTCTGCCAGGCCTAATATTTTATCTTTATATTAAAAAATAAAGATATTAATTAAATAAATTAATTTTAAAAATAATGGATTTGGAATATTTAATTGAAGAAGAAAATTATTTTATAAATATAAGTAAAACAGAAAGTGATAGTTGGATCTCTAATACTTTTCTAATCGATATAATGCAATATGAAGATACTTCAATGCTTTTTATTACAGAAGATGATAATGGAAATTTTTATTTACATAGGTATACTTTTTTAATGAATAATGAAGAAATATATTTTCCTTTACAAATAAAAAAAGAAGAAATTTCTATAATACAACTAGGAAAAAATTGGACAAAATACATGCAACAGCTATTTATTAAAGTAAAAGGAAAAAGATTTGTTCCTTGGCAAGAAAGAGATCAAAAATATTTCTCAAAAGTTCAACATTAAAGAAAAAGATAAAGTATAAATTATCTAATATAACACGAGAAATGATGTCATCTGACGAAATATTAAAAAAGAAAACTACATTGTCTAAAAATGAAAATTACAAAAAAGATATCCTAACACCAAAAGAAACACTATTTCAAGAAGACCTGATTTGCTTCGAAGATGAAAATAAAGAGGAAATTATGTTAATTGATTTGAATAAAAATAATAAATTAATATCTTCACTGCAACAAGAGATTCTTATGTTAGATGCTGAACAATTTCAAATGTTTTTCAATGATAATAAAAATAATTTTGAAAATAAAATTGAAATGCAAACTTTTGATTACTTTTGTGAAGAAATATATGACTTGTATCAAGAAATGCCAATGGAAAATGATGTACTTGAATCTGCATTTACAAAAACTTGTGAAGTTGAGGCAGATGATGATGATCTTCAACCAAAACAAATTTCTGAAGATATGCCTAATGTAGAATATATCTATGAAAAATTAGATCCATTAATCCCTAAAGTATTTAATGTATTTAATAATGAACGACTGGTGTAAGAAAAATCATTATTAATTTATTTACCGCAACAACTATCCCAAATAAATGAATTTGAATATTTTAACAATAAAACCAATTACCAGCTAGATCTTATGAAATTTCTTTAGGTAGAATATCAATGGAAAAGTCAGAAAAGAAAGACATATCGTACAAAGTCACTGCATTACTAAAAATTAAAATTAAATATAACGAATTGAAATAATTATCCCGGAAGTGATTATCACGTGATTTACCAATCAGAATTTCATGAAACAAAGACTATCATATGCATCGAGATGCGCTCTTCAAAATGATATGTGTTACATTACAAACGAACCACTAGATGTTGAGATATTCAAGAAAATGTGCTAAATATATTCAAAGGAATATTTTAATAGAATATTTATTAATACTGTGCCACATATCGTAAAAGAAAATCTTAGAAATATTTAGTAAAATAATAATATAGAATAACAAATTTACTAAAAAAATTAATTAGTAAGCAAATCGTGATGGTATGCTGAGATTTTTATTGAATATTTTGAAGAAATACAGAGAAAATTGAAGAAAAATAATATAAAAACAAACATATATAAGAAGACTATCTAGAAATTACATTAACAATGAGAAGAAAATAAATTTATCTTGCTACAAAAAAGAGGAAGGGGAGTGTAGTCACATGAACAACTGAAGCGTATAACATTCCTTCAAATAAAAATTAATAGAATTTAATCGTAAAAATGAACATAAAAAGGAAAATTTATACTTAATCCTCACGAGGATGACAAAATCTCACATGAAATTCATACTCTACACTTCGGTTAAGAAGTTACTGTGTAATTAGCTGATACTGTCTACAAACTATTTCTAAAGTCTCTTGTAATTCTTAAGTTCGTATAGCTTGTGTTTGAGAATTTGTTTGGAGTAAATCCCTTTCTTGCTAAACTTGAAGGAAATCTTGATACAGAGTATTATAAGCTTCTTGGAGATCTTGAAACCTATTTTCAGTTTGAGTCAAAAAAGTTGAAAGTTCCATTAGTAAATCACATGTTCAATCAAATTTGACAAAGAAAGTTCCTGTTTGTCCTAAGGAAGTTGTTAACTGTTCTCGTAAAGTCGAAACTTCTTCATGATTCTCTTGACAACCTATATATGGGAGCTTTGCAATAGAAAGGGAGGAAACTCTAAAAAAATTAAAATTTTACTTTCTAAGCTAATTATGATTTTTTTTGTAAAATAAGTCCAGATTTAACATTAACTAAAAAAAAAATTTTTTAGAGTTTCCTCCCTTTCTATTGCAAAGCTCACATATATCAAATATATATAAAAAAGGAAAATATTAGTCTATGCGTAACTCGACTAAATGAAACTAGTCTAATGAATCCAGCCATTTCCAAAACGATAGTCGTAGTTCAGAAACAGTTCTAATACAATAATTGCAGGTCAGGCATTTCACCAAATCCATCAGATAGCTCACCTTTATTATGTATTTGTTCTCTTCTCTTTCTTACGCGTTCTCTTTGACGATTTGACCAACCCTTCTTTGTATTTAATGACGAGTATGAGTCATGATATTGAAAATGATATATTAACTAAAAAGAAAAGTGAGATAAATATCTATATTAATACAGCGCTTATATTAACTCCATTTAACCTCTGGTCTTTCAGTTTTCAGAAAGTATCAGATGTGTGGCGTTCCTCAATACTTTATTAAACTCAAAACATCATAGTAACTTTAAGTATTATTCGTTAAATCTTCAATGGATGGAATATATTTTATCAAAGAGAAATCAAAAACTTACAAAAGGAAAATGACAATAATTTTGATAATAGAAAAAAATATTTTTGAGAAAAAGGAGAAATTTGAAGAGGATTTTTATATTTGAAAATTAGTATGAGAAAATTTTAAACGATATGGGAAAATTTCTTTTGCAAAAAAATAAACAAAAGACTATTGGGACTATTGGAATCTATTGCTGATGAAGATCATTGAATAAGAAATTTATAGAACATGATGAAATCTTGTTTATGGATCAATAAACAGGATGATCAAACAGAACAAAATGATTTGATTGGACAAAAATGATGTAATAACTTTAGAATCTACATAGATGCAGCATCTAAACTTAATTTAGTATCTGTATATTCAGAAGTATAAGAAGAAGATATTGCATGATTTTTAAGAACAAAATATTATGTGTACAAATTTTTAATATAGAAAAATATTGCAATATTTTACACAGCCTGCCTTAAAAAAAGTTTAATCTGCATAATCAATCGATCAGGAAGTTAATTTTAGATTTGTATTCAAATTTAAAAGGATTTTCCTCATAGTTAATTAATGAAAATCAAATTTATATAAACTTTTCTAATATAGAAAGATATATAAAAGGAAAATCTCTTCATTATGTAATGGGAAGCAAGATCTACTGAACAAATTAATTGTCTTACTCAAAAATTATCATTGAAGTTTATTTTTAATTTACAAAAAAATTTTTGCAGGAGCTGCAAATTTTAGAGGGGAAAAATTTATACCAGATTATATCAAAATTACTGTGTTATAAGGATTTATAAAATGTTAACATTATATAGGACAAAAAGGGGGTTCTGGGACAGATTTCAAATATACCTCCAAATCCGCCTATGAACCCAGTTTGCTATATGATTTCCAATATCAAATTCAAAGCTCTAGCGCTTTTTTGACTCTAATATAGATAATGTTATCGAACTTGGCTAGGAATTAGCCTGTCAGATACCAGGAAGTATACTGATTGATATAACCATTCTAGCCTGATTTTAATCCCAAATAATATAACAAAAAATTTTTA